AAGCACTAATCGACCAGTACATACACCGGTTAAATACAGAGATTTCGTACCAAACCTAGGTATACGAGGATCAAAATCCACCTTCCACCCCTCCAAATATTTGCCTTCTTGAGCGGTTCGATTCAGTCAACCGTCTCCCAGATTTAAAACAACTTCATTAATGGGACATGGAACTCAATGAGATGATGTTTGGAAGAAACTTGTCGTTAATCTGATTTACTCTTCATCGCATTTCAGATGAAAAAGTGGACAGATCTAAGAGACAATGGAAAGTTCAACTAGAAAAGGAAGAAACACCATTTGTCACGAGATATTTAACCCACAACTCCATCGTCACTACATTTGCAGAAAAACCCCTTTCAACCATTTCACCAACAAGTTGCGCTGCTCTAGTACTTTCGTTATTTCTAAGTAGTCCTTGGATTATTGTGTTATAATTGACCCCATTTGGAAAACATCCATTTCCTTCCATCTCCCTTAGCAGCTGATACGCTTCCTCCGTGCGTCCTCCTTTGCACAACCCATGCATGAGAATGTTATACGTGCACACGTCAGGTTGCAAGCCTCGAGCATGCAAACAGTCAAACAACTCTTTTGCATCGTCGAGCTTTCCGGCATTACACATGCCATTTATTAGAATATTGTAAGTCACAATATTTGGGACGAATTTGGAATCTTCCATCTTTCGAAGCAATATCATGGCCTTGTCAATCTGCAGCATTTTACACAAGCCATCCAGGAAAGCACTCAAGGTATAATGATCTAGATATAGATCGCGAGATTGCATCTCCTTAATTAGCTCCTCCGCGGCTTCAAGGTTCCCAACCTGGCAAAATCCGTTCAGGAGAGTGTTGTATGTGATGACATCCGGAATCAGGCCCCTTTGAAGCATTTCTCGGAAAAGCATCTCTGACTTGTCAACTCTTCTCGCTTTGCAGTACCCATTAATCAGCGTGTTATAAGTAACAACATCAGGTGAGCAGCCTCTTTCGACCATCAAATTAAACACTTCCATTGCATCATCCATTCGATTTTGCAGACAATAACCATTCATCAATGTATTATATAAGAAATTAGAAGGCACTATACCTAATTGAATCATCTGGTCCACTATGGCCTCTGCCTCTACAAGCATTCCCTCTTTACAATGTGCATCCACCAGGATAGTGAAGGTTTGAACATTCGGCATTACTCTGCTTTGCACCATATGACTCAGCAGTCCTCGAGCCTCTTTCAATTGACCGGAATTGCACACTCCCTGAATGAAGGAGGTATAAGTAACCACATCCGGTTCAATTCCTGCCTTCATCATCTTCTCCAACAAGACTGTAGCATCTTTCCATTGGCCTAGGTTGCATAAGCAGGGAACCAAGGAGTTATAAGTAAAAACATCTGGTTGAAAGCCCTTTCTACTCATACCTTCGTGGAGTCGCAAGGCCTCTATGATATTGCCCTCCTTGCAGAGACCATCTATTACTATGTTGTATGTGAAGGAATTGATCCTGCAGCTTCTCTCTTCCCAGTCCCTTAGCAATCCAATCGCCAATCAGGTCTTACCCGCCCTGCATAACCCCTTCACGATTATCGCATACGTCATCTCATTAGGTTCGGGGCCGTTTCGAACCATATCATCGAGGATCCTCAACGCCTGATCAGTTTCGCCCTTTATGAAGAGACCATCAATTAGGGTGTTGGATGCCACCACATCGATGTGAAACCCGACCTTCAAGATCTTACCCAGGATAGACAAACCCAAATCAACCCGCTTTAACCGGCAAAGGCAATTCAACCAAATATTCAGCCAAATATGATCATCTTCAATCCCCAACGAATGCAGCCGCTCGATCAACCCGATCGCAGTCGAGTACCGCTTCATCCTCACCACAGCACCCAGCAGCAGACCGAAATCCCTGGCGGAAGGCAAAGGGTTCGCGCTGATCATTTTACGGAAGCAGCACAGGGCATCGCCGACGCTCGTGAACGCACCACCGTTTCTGCAATTTGTCCTCACGTAACACAAGAGCCGGTTCCGGTCGTCTGAATTAGAAGTGGGGATCATCGAACAAAACCTCCGACGACAGCCGAACGAGAGAGGGTGATGGAGAACGGAAAGGGAGGACGCCCTGGAGATGACATCCGGAGCAGGAGGAGGAAGAAGAAGGAGGAAGATGGAAGCACCACAGAGATTCGTTCGCTTCATCGGCTGCAGATGAATCTGCAAACTGAAGAGCTTTTTGCTTTGGGGGTCTCTCTTTCTCACCTTAAGCAGAAATTCACGTTCGCTCGACTCTATTCAAACATTGATTTCAAGTTATCTGATAATACTTGCACGGAGACGAGAAGAATAAGGAAAACTTTTTGTTACAAAGTATGGATTCTTTAATCTGGCCCCTTCATTGTCAATTCAAGTGATCCAATTGTAAGTTTAAGAAAGAAGATGGAAATTAGTTCTATGGAAAAAGGATAGCATCGATGTCACAAGTTTTGTGTGTCGCCTAATTTGGTACTAAAAACTTAGGTTTTTATACCGTGACAAATTTACCAAAAACTAATTTTTTAACCACAAAAAATCTCTCAAATTGATACACATGCGATAAATTCACCCTCTATTAATTTTCGTTAAATTTTACTGTCAAATTACTGAGTTGAATGACACGTTACGGTTGACAGATGTATGAGTTTGGGGTTTTACCCTCAGTTTATCACAAATCTACTAGTTTTTGGTTTTTTTTTGTATTACTCCAATTTAACGGAGGATAAATTTATTACAAATATACTAGTTTTGATTTTTAGTAGTAAAAAAATTAATTTAGGGTAAATACGTCACATGCGTACCGGTTTGAGTTTTTTTGTAAATTTGTCACGGATGTACCAGTTTGGGATTTTTTGTGGTATTAACCCTTAAAATTTTTATATAATCATTAAGTATCAAAACTTTTGAAAAGCAATCACTTACATGACATCAGTGACTTATTTGCAGGAACATCTTACGGACTTCGCGGAGTCACGTAAATGGACGATTTTGAAAAGTTTTGGCACAATATCTATCATGTCTGAAATTTTTTGCTCTAAAATTTTCCAAGTTATAGATTAGACAAAACGGTGACGTGGGCCGAAAGCAAAAAATCACAAAGCAAATATTCCAACTTGGTCACTATTTTCTTTGTTGCGTTAGACTCAAAAGCAAAACCTTCGAGCAATCACTCTCTGCAAATAATTTGATTTAAAATCACAAATAAGTATTTAATTTCGTCCAAAAAAAAGAAAAAAAGAAGAAGAATGTATCGGAGCAAGGAACTTTACAGAAATGGACTACTTCTCTTGAATCAATTGCTAGAGTTGGGGAACCAATTTGACCCCATTATATCAGTGTGTGAAAAATTGATGCATTTTAAACGATTCTTGTGCAAGGCGAGCTTTCGTTAATAGGGTCGGTCTGGCAGAATGCCGAAGATGGATCATTTGCGGACTATAGAGGTCCGGCGGGAATACTTATAGTAGGGCATTCGATTTTGTTGCTTATATTGTGAGCATCTTTCAATTTGTGCAATAGAGTCGGCCGATTTGCATGATTTGGATACTAGAATTCTTTCATCAACGGTCGGCACGGCAACTTTGACCCCCGAAAAAATAAAAAAGAGAATTGAGACTACTTATTTCAAAATGCTCTCATCGCCAGATTTAGTGAGGTCGGCCCTCGCCCAAGGCCAGAGCGGCCTCGCCGGGCGTCACCCGGGTGAAGGCAACGCTTGGCAAGGGGAGCTCTCGCCTGACCGGGCCTTGCCAGGCGAGGCCGCCCTAGCATAAGTGAGGATCTACCTCGCCAGATCTAGCCTGGGCAAGGCCGACCCTCGCTGGGCTTCGCCTGGGTGAGGGTGAGCCCCGGCGAGGGCTGGCCTCGCCATCCTATGGTGCACAACGGCAATCCTCACCTAAGCAAAGCTAGTCCGCCCGGTGGCCAGTCACTAACAAAAGGAAGAAGAAAGGAAAAAAGAAAAAATCAGAAAAATAATTAACAAATCGAAAAATTATTAAAATATAATTCAAATTGTCCACATCAGCGCCAGTGATGCCATGCAGGTTTGCTAGCGTCAATGTCAACAATACCCAGCTCAAATTAATCGAAATGACTGAATTAGCATTAGGTTAAAAGGTTTTTGACTAAATTGGCACCAAGGTTATGACTATTCTGACACTTTTCCCTATAATCAAGAGAATAGTCATCATCTTTAGAGAAAATGTGCTTATCCAAATACCTTGTTCGACATGAAATTGTACACGAGAGCTTGCTTTGAGAATAGTCGTCATCTTCTTCCGTAGTTCAAATGTTATCCAAAAAGGAATTGTAGAGGAAATAGGATGAGAAAGAAGAAACGAGAATGCAACGAACAACTAAAGGCATCAAGAATCTTCTTCATTAATTTGGCCACTACTCTTTGACTCGACGAACGATAATCTCAGATAAATAGAAAAGCCTCAGATGAAACTACAAGATGAAAAAGGACAGAAGCAACATAAACGACAAATACATGAACATTGGGACACAATGGAAACGTTAAAAACCGCTAAAACTCCCAAAGAAGAAAACCAGGATTACCAAAGATTCGTGAAAGAGTGAACGGTAAATTTATAGATGCTCGAATTGTACTGTTGTCTACTTCGTCTACATTCTTTCCAACCTAGAAACTTGAATAATACTTAACTCTTGGCGAATTAGCAAATCGACAAGTTAGCTTAAGAAAGAGATGAGATTGCGTTGTTTCCATCCTATATCCGAAACGAACAGAAGCTTTTGAGATTGCTCATGCATTGGTACCATCGAAGAAAGATTCGTATGCTAATCATAGGAGAAAAAGCTATTGGGCACAACCACTATAAATAGTCAAAGACTTGTGCCTCTCAAGGTGCAAAAGAGGATGGAGCACGAAAATTAAGTCAAGGATATCAGGCTATGGATACTCCTTCGAGAGTTGCAATTATGCTGGTTGGGTCGCTTTTTGATGTGCTATGCTGTTCAAGGCGCTCCGGACACGAGCAAAGTTTACAGGGCTTGCAATGCCGGTACCTATTCGAGCGGCGACGCTCATGCTGACGGTGTGGCTTATGTCCTCGCGGACATGGAGACCGTGACTCCAAATCATGTGAACTACGACTACTACACCATGTCTCCTTGTCCCACAGCAGCTATCTATGGTCACGCCACCTGCAACTCGGCGCTTTTTGATAGCGATTGTGGTATATGCGTAAGCTATGCTAAATCCCAGATTCTAGCGGACTGTTCGAACTGTCTTGGCGTTAACATGGTGCTTAGAGATTGTAGTATGAGGTATGATAGCTACTCATTTACTGATTAAGTAGTTCCCTACCGAACCAGAGACCATGTTTTATTGTATGCGGTTGTTTATGCCGTACGTGTTGCCCTGATTGTTTTTGTGGGAAATGATACGATAGTAGTTATGCTTTGCTTGTTATTTTAAGGGTTAATATCACGAAAAACCTCAAACTGGTATATTTGTAACAAATTTACTCCGAATTATTTTTTTTATCACCAAAAACCCTAAACTGGTATACCTGTGACAATTTTACCCTAAACTGATTTTTTTATCACAAAAAACCTCAAACCGGTACACCTGTGATAATTTTACCCCTAACTAATTTTTTGATCACTAAAAACCCCAAACTGATATATTTGTGACAAATTTATCCTCTGTTAGTGTCCGTTAAATTAGATTAATATCACGAAAATTCACAAATTGGTAAACTTGCGACAAACATAGAGGTAAAGCCCCAAACCGATACACCTGTCAACTACCACGTGTCATTAAACTTAGCAATTTGACAGTAAAATTTACCGGAAACTTACGGAGGGCAAATTTATCACAGGTGTACCGGTTTGGAGTTTTTTATAGTCAAAAAATCATTTCGGGGTAATATTGTCATAGGTTTACCAGTGTGAGATTTTTTGTGGTCAAAAAAATAGTTCGGGGTAAAATTATCACAGGTGTAATAGTTTGAAGTTTTTTTTTTTGGTTAAAAAAATAGGTCGGAGTAAAATTGTTACATGTGTACTAATTTGAGATTTTTCGTGGTATTAACCCTTATTACAAACTTCTCAAAATAATATTGATTTATTATAATGAAAAAATCTAACTAAATAGCTAAAAACTTTTAAAATATTTAACAGTAATCACACAATCATTGCTTGCTCCAATAACAATCTTGGATTTTCGGGTAAGCAGAATCGTACCTTTTGCGTTCCATGATCAACAATTATTTCACCAATGCACGTACTACTGGTGGTCCAAGATGCAATCACGCATCATAAAAGGAAAAATAATACAAATAGTCCCTAAACTTTGGTTAAATATGCATTTTGGTCCATGAACTTTTAATTTGTTCAATGTAGTTCCTAAACTTTAATTTAATGTGCAATATGGTCCCTGAACTTTTAATTTGTTCAATGTCATCCCTGAACTTTTGGTACATGTTCAATTCAGTCCCTGAATTATATGAAAATGTTCAATGCAGTCATTTCCATTAATTCAAGTTCAGGGACTACATTGAATATTTTCATATAGTTCAGGGACTAAATTGAACATGACCAAAAATTCAGGGATGACATTGAACAAATTAAAAGTTCAGGGACCACATTGAACATTAGCTTAAAGTTCATGGACTACATTGAATAAATTAATAGTTCAAGGACCAAATTGCATATTCGGCCAAAGTTCAGGGACTATTTATGTCATTATCCCCGCCAGAAAACGCAAGTTTCGCCATCCAATTATGTCACTAGATCCGCAAAATTTAAAGTTACTTTTGCATGTAATATCTGCTTTAATGAAGATACCGCATACTGTACTTTGAGAAGAAAAAGTTACACATTTTGTTCTTCCTCTCTTGCTCTTTTCTTACGTTGGGTAAAAACTTTCTGGGTGCAAATAAGAGATAGGCATCCCTTTCATCCAACCATTTCCTTGTTTTTAACCCATGATAGCTTGTTTTAAGGAGAGTGGTGCTTATCCACACTACCTATTTCCCTCCAGAAAGAAGTTCAAAGAACACGGGTCGGGTTTTTGAGTCGATCCATCCCGGGCGGACTCGACCCGATATCCAACGGGACCAGATTTAAACACGCTACATGAAGTAAAAAGTACCACAGCAGTGATTAGTAGCTATGGTACCTGTGAGATACATCCATTAGCAAGATGCAGTAAACAGGGAAACATGGCATATAATTTAGGACATCAGAGGCCAGTTCCACATCCTCTGGCGCATGTGCAAGGGATTTCAGATTCCATTACGCACTTCCAATCATATAAAGGAACAGCAAAGAGAAAAGGCCTGACCAACATTCTCAAATCATATTTCCTTCTGAATATCGTCATGAGAGCTAGTAATGAAATAGTGAATCTCGTAAAAGTGTTACCGGCAATTGAAATAAAAATGAAATTACCACCAATTCACAAGACAACATAAAACACGATGCCGTATAGAAATCCACTCCAAGGTTTCCTTCTTGGATTGCACACGACAGATCATCCCTTTGAAATAATTTGATTGCACAAGGTTTTCTTTCTTGAAAATTCTGATACATAAAGATTAGGATAAGGACACTAGAAGTACCATAACTTACGTACGGTGCTCACTTGAGTGCCATAACTTTTTTTTCGCTCACTTAAGTGTCACTTTCGGCAAAAAAAGATCACTTGAGTGCCACTTCCGGCGAAAATAGATCATTTGAGTGCCATTTCCGAAAAACCATCATACGTGAATTTTTTTATTAATTTTTCATCCAACGTGGATTTTTTAAATGTTATTTATTTATTTTGAATTTTTTTTTTCCTTTCTTTTTTTTTTTTTCAATGCCAGAGAGGGTCATCAGCGACCCTCGCCGACTGCGAAGGCCTCATCCAGATTGGGCGATGGCCGCCTTACCCTCAGCCGCGAAGGCCCTAGGTGAGGCCGTCACGGCCTCGCCGGCGGCGGGCGAGGCCGCGAAGGCCGTCGCCAGATCTGGGCGGCCGCAAGCAAGGCGGCCTCGCCAGATCTGGCGAGAGCCTTCACCGCCTTTCTCGCGGCTGCGAAGGCCCTTGGCGAGGTGGTCAAAACCTCGTCGGTCGCAGGTGAGGCAGCGAAGGCTCTCGCTAGATCTGGTGAGGCCGCCTCACTCGCGGCCGCCCAGATCTGGCGACGGCCTTCGCGGCCTCGCCCAAGGCCTTCTCGGCTGCGAGCGAGGCGACAAAGGCTCTCGCCAAATCTAGCGAGGCCGTCTCGCTTGCGGCCGCCCAGATTTGGCGACGGCCTTCGCGGCCTCACCCAGGGCCTTCACAGCCAAGGGCAAAGCGGCCCTCGCCGGCATTGAAAAAAAATTTGCAAAAAAAAAGGAAAAATAAAAATTCAAAAAAAAAAATTAAAATATTGTCAACGTCAACTCCGGCGAAGCCACGTCGGATTTTCCCACTGCCAAATGGCCGATGGCACTCAAGTGATCACTTTTTGCCCAAAGTGGCACTTAAGTGATCGAAAAAAAAAATTATAGTACTCAAGTGAGCACCGTACGAAAGTTATAACACTTCTAGTGCCCTTATCCCCATAAAGATTTTACGTTTTATCCAACATGAACAAAGAGAATAATCTTGCAGACTTCAACTATTATCTATAGGCATAAGTACACCACAAGTGCCATAACTTTCATACGGTACTCACTTAAGTGCCGTTAACTTTTTTTTTTATGACTTGAGTACTACATTGATTAAAAATCATTCACTTGAGTGCTATCAGCGATTTGTATAGCTGAAAAATTCAACGTGGCCTTCAATTGTCCAACTGGCTCATTGGAGAAATGAAGTCAGCAAAATAGCATTTAAACGATGTCGTTTGGTTCATTTATTTGCCCCAAATCAACGAATTAGGGCTTAATTCTTCAAACCCTAACCCCAAATCGAGGAATTAGGGAAAGTTTCTTTAAACCCTAACCTAAAACTTGAAATGGATAGAAGCGGCTCAGTTGTGTGAAGAAAGTTAATACAATTATGACGGTTGCTTAGTGTCCACATTCAAGAAGTGCAAATTTTGAAGTTCATGGATCAATTCAATAAGAAACTTTTTCACCAAATGGCTATGGAGAAAATTTTATGGAGGCCTACGGTCATAAGCTGCTGCAAAACCACAGAAGAAGCCAAGAAGTGATGGCCCAAGAAGAAAGTGACAAAACAGAACTCATTCCAGAAGTTCTTTTTTCTGAGTTCAATTGATCATGTCCGCCACGGTATCCACGCGTGAACTTAGCTCAAAGAATGGTCTCCGAAACGCTTGCACGCTGTTATCATTGTGTTAGCAAACAAAGAGTAGAGAGCGTGACGAGAGCCAGACTGACCAGGCAAATCCTTGTGTCCTAAGTGACACAGTTAACAAACAGAAAAATGTGTTCTTGAGCCAGTAATTGAAACAGATAAAAATGGCAAGTAATTTACCTTCATTGAGAGCCAACCCTTTTGGTCGGGAAAGTAATTCAATTGATGCAATGGAAAAGACGATGGAAATTTACATCATCTGGGCCTTACTGCTATGAAGCTAATTGGTGTTCGCTCAAGACGTTGGCGTTCATGTTCACCCATCATCATATGCTTTTCGGAAAATCCCACGCAGTGCAAAGGAGACTTGCAGCCGTGTTCCTTAGTCAGCAAGCCGTCCCTCAAACTTCACTGTTATTTGCTTGTAAGAAGCAGACCAAATAAGCCAAATATGTAATCGATCTGTGATGATAATCTGAGCACCCAGCTCGACCCAAATATGCTCCACTATCGTTTCAAAGACCATCCACTTCAAGGTATGCATCTTCTTTGAATGGTAAATAGTACATTGAGGGGATCAGACTGTTAGGAAAAGAGTATAACAGAAAACTAGGATCTCTCTCAAAGCACATACACAACAGGCTAATCAGGATTTATGACATAATTTACTTTAGTACGTAGTAAAATTATTGCCATTAACATCTATTTAATTCAAGATCATCCTCAGACCGCTTGATCATTTGTATGAATTCCACCTGTATGAAGAACATTAGGCACCAGAAGCACTAACCGAAGAGTACATGTACCCATTAAATACAGAGATTTCTTCCTGAACCTAGGTATACAAGAAACAAAATGCACCTTCCACCCCTCCCAATATTAGCCTTCTTGGGCAGTTCGATTCAGCCAACTGTCTCCCAGACTTAAAACAACTTCATTAATGGGACATGCGACTCAATGAGATGATGCTTGGAAGAAACTTGCTGTCAATCTGATTTACTCTTCATCGCATTTCAGATGAACAAGTGGACAGATCTCGGAGACAATGGAGAGTTCAA